AATCACTATTTTTTCTTCTTCAAGGGTTCTTTCTTTGGAATATATGTAGGGAGCACCATTGCACTTCAACTGCATCTTCATGAAGGAGCAATCTAATACTATTCTATAAAAGAATATTTCAGAACCTTATTGTATCTCCAGGAATCCTTTATTTATTTATTTACTATATTTATGCCTTCTCACCTTGAAGGAGACATAGAGCAGCTTACAAATCCCTTTACCTTCATAACGTAGGTTTCATCTCTTTATTTATTTATTTATACACTTTATACACTTTATACACTTTATCCACTTTTGAGTTTGAATGTATATTTTTGTTACCTTCATTTCCACATGACTGCATTTATTTCAGCTTTTGCTTCAAACCACCAGTCTATTTACATGCTAATCTCTCCATATTAAGCCTGATTCATAGGATTTTAAAAATTGTAATAAAATGCTAGTTCCCAAATACTGATTACTGCATATACTTATGATGTGGGTTACATAAAGTCTCCTTGAGTTTTATGCAAGTGTGCTTTACAGGGACAAATCTGCTAAGACGTACTGGTACAAAGTTCAAAGATCTTTATACATGTACACAATGCACACAGTTTTATACATGTTGATCTGTAGAAGATATTAGGATATAGAAGGTTCATTGAGAATCAGGTGAAGCTGGAACCAGTTGGGATTAGGACTGCTTATTTCCCTATTCCTGGGCTATTTTCTGTAACAAACCCGGGTTGACCCACTTACTATGTGATACATTCTGAAGTTTCTGAATAAATAATTATGAAACAATATAGTCAATATATACATGGATAGGTCTAGAAATTTTAAATAAAAGAATCTCAAAATAATGGGTCAATTTATCCATGGGTCAATATGACTATTGTATATTAATGCTTATAAAAAAGAAACTACTGAATTCTCTTAGTAGAATAGTAGAAGTATTCTTCTCAGGATATCACTAGAACAGTCTTTCTCAACCTGGGGGTTGGGACCCCTGGGGGGATCATGAGAGCGTGTCAGAGGGGTCACCAAAGGCCATCAGAAAACACAGTGTTTTCTGTTGGTTATGGGGGTTCTGTGTGCGAGTTTGGCCTAATTCTATAGTTGGTGGAGTTCAGAATGCTCTTTGATTGTAGGTGAACTCTAAATCCCAGCAAGTACAACTCCCAAATGTCAAGGTCTACTTCCAAAGCCCAAAATCTACCAGTGTTCACATTTGGGCATACTGAGTATTCATGTCAAGTTTGGTTCAGATCCAACACTGTTTTAAGTCCACAGTGCTCTCTGGATGTAGGTGAACTACAACTCCAAAACCCAAGGGCATTGCCCACCAAACCCTTCCAGTATTTTCTGTTTGTCATGGGAATTCTGTGTGCCAAGATTGGTTCAATTCCATCGTTGGTGGAGTTTAGAATTCTCTTTGATTGGAGGTGAACTATAAATCCCAGCAACTACAACTCCAAAATGACAAAATCAACTCCTCCACATTCCACTCCACCAGTATTCAAATTTGGGTGTATCGGGTATTTGTGCCAAATTTGTTCCAGTGAATGAAAATACATCCTGCATATTAGATATTTACATTACGATTCATAACAGTAACAAAATTACAGTTATGAAGT